ACACTGATGCCATACCCTGGACGGTAAATTATTTTGTTTTTAACAGTTTTCCAAAACACACTCATGTTTAGTTGTAGATCAAAGGATTTGAAATAAAGAGGGCCCAGAGATGGAGGGTCCAGACCATCTCTGCCTGCCGTCTCTGCCCTACCATCAACAAAGCCAATAATCAAAACAGGAAAAGAAACCACCATCATCAATGCCTTTATTCATATGGTCAATGGTCATATATTTATACAGCGCCTTCCACAGAAAACCGTCTCAAAGCACTTTTGAAGCCACAAGAAACAAAGTCAAAAGAACGTTAAGGGGTGGGGGAGTGCGGACCCCCGATTTTATGATAGCGTAGGGGATTGAGGAGTGCACATCTATGTAATATACCTTGCGCTAAGCCCTGCCTTCTGGATATTGCTGCTAATGTCTCACAAAACAACAGCGTAAACGTATGCAAACACACACACACACATGTACCCCGTGTTAGCCGGTGGGGGGGGGGGGTCAGGAATTGCATTTTCGCCCTCGAACAGGCCAGGACTTTGTCATTCGATCCTACAACTAGGTCTTCAGACCATCCAAATAATGCTATTTTCATTGCCAATCCCTAATATTGTTGTCTAAAAGCACAATTTGGACTACACTAAGCCATAAAAACTCCCAACCTGAACCCTACCATGGCTTTTTCATTCAGGGACCCTTAATGAGGCTCTAGTCAGTTCCTTGAGCGGAAGGTGATCATTTATTATTCCGTCATTTTTAATTACAGTTTTATAATATATATTTTAGGCATTATCCTGTATCAGGCTGAATGAAGATGACACCACATCTTCAAGTCGAATCTTCATCAAGATTTTATTCCAGGAGCTGTCTGAGTACATGGGACTCCCAAAACTGAACGAAAGATTCAAAGATCAGTAAGTCATTCTACAATAAGAGCTCACTTTCCAGAGAAAGATTATAGGAGTGCCTTCAGGTGTTAGTCACATAAAACTTGATATGGTAATGGTTGGAGATTTATATAGGGCATAATATGTGGTCTCTACGCACTGTAGAGAAACAAAAATAGCAAAATTTATTCTAGTAAGTCAACTAAGCTAACCATGCTCAAATAAATATCCGAAACAGACTAATGTAGAAGAAGAAACAGTTGTGTGTGACTGAACATAATACTTGATTGCTAATGTTACAGATTGTAAGAGAAGGCATTCTAATTTTTTTTTTTTATTTGTCCATGAAAGCACATAAAGATTTTGTTATGTGGTTTGTACATACTTGCTTATTATTAAATAGTTAACAGTGTACTCTCTAATTCATTATAGAACATTGCAGCCATTCTTGGAAGGTCTAATGCCGCATGACAATCCAGCCAACACCAGGTTCTCTATCAATTTCTTCACAACAATTGGACTTGGAGGCCTCACGTAAGTTATAACTAACATTTCCAATTCCATTATTATAATTATTATTATTTGTTTATAATGACAATATACCTTTTAGAGTAAAAAAAAAAAAACTGTAAATACCTAAACAATTTTAATTTGTGTTATTTTTATACCGTAAAACCAATGGGCTTAATCTCGAGAAGAAGCCCATCTTGAATTACTTTGCAAACGTAAGCCCATGGGCTTCTTATCAAGATAGCATAGGCTTCGTTTTGAAATAGTACAGTACATACACTGTACATGAGTTTCAAAATATGTTAAACAAAAATGCTTGGTTTAGTAGTTTAGGTGATTCAATGCCGGTTAATACACTCCATGATACAGATTGATGTTACAGTGGCCCTATTTACCGTATTGTTTTATAGTAGTAATTCCCAAAATTTACAGCATTCATTTTGAAAGGAAGCTCCCCTTCTACTTTGCAAAAGTAGCCTTGGAAAGAAGCCCATCCAAAGTTCGCCAAAAAAAAAAAAAAAAAAAAATTTTTTCTATTTTAAATTTCTAGATCTGCCAC